GCCGCGGGGGAGCCGGGCAGCACCGGCACGGACCGTGCCCACACGCGTGCGTCTCCCGCTCCTGACAATAGAACGGACGCGGAAAAAGGCGCCGGCGCCCGGTGCGCGCACGCAGCCGCTCCTGAAGCAGCTCTCCACGGGCTGCACCCAGACGCCAGAGCCTGATTTTTCGAAATGGAATCTCTGCTGTCCGCGCCAATTAAGGACCAGTTATCAACAGCTGACCCCGTCATCCTCCCACCGTGGCCAGCAGAAGCCACTGGACCGAAATGATCCAACTCGCCCAATTCAGCACTTACCCGTTGGCCTCAGGGCATTGGGCCTTTATTCGAGTTTAAGGCCAGGGGAAGCTGACCACTGACCCCACACAATGCAAATGACTGGACACGTGTACAAAATTGTGTGAACACAGCTTCCCTCCCCTTCATAGATGTTTCTGTGCAAACCAGGAATATTATAATAGATAAAACCAGGAAAAAAATGAACACTTTTCTTACAAAGGCCGTGCTTTTAAGAATACCTGTGATTTACTGTAAACGTTCCTTAACAACCCCAGGCATGCAACGGAAAAGCAACATTCAAAGTTTTGCAAAGTTCAGCTTTGCACCAGCTGCTTCCAACTTCCACAGCAGAGTGTTATGACAGATGAAGCCCATATGTACTCAACTGTACACATTTCACAAGCCGGCTTTTGCATTTGGGAAGAAAAGGAGTAAAACTTTCTCAACTATATGTCAATTTCAATGTGACAATAGCATTAAGACAAAAATTAGTACTAAACCAATGACATTCTGAATTTTTTCAAATGTACCAGGTACTGTGATGCACAAAAGCGAGTGGGGCCTTTAGAGTATTACTCGTAGTAACAAGCCATTACCAAAGCCAGTGCAATAAATGTTTCAGTCTCATATTTAGCTGAAACCCAAGTGTCTCTTTGAGCGTCCCAGACCCATCTGCTGGCAACCTAAAGGAAAGAAAAGAAGCAGCTATTTGTGAATCTATTAAAAAAAAAAAAAGAGAAAACTGTGCCATTTAAAGTACAGCATTATATAAATAAAAATATAATTGCATTATGAAAGTTACAAGTAGTAACAATAGCTGCAAAGTTACTATGATAATGAACAAGTCCTATTTGATGTTTTAACACGTTCTAGCTTCGCAGTAAAGCTCCCACCCCTATAGATCAAAAAAAAATCTCAACACAGACAATTAAACTGTCCCATGGTTACTTGTTAGGGCTTTAGCATACTGTAACGGCACGCCTTCAAAAGCAACACAGATAGAGATTCATTTTTGGAACATACATTGGTAAGAAGTAATGTCCCTCACTCCTCCCCCTCTAACTTACTCCCATCTACAGCTGACCATTTACTGGGCTCTCAGCTTTTTTGATAAAAACCTATTTTCAGTGCTAAAATGTGCGAATTGACTGCTGGAATATATTCCTCTGGAGAAAAAAGTTAACTTGGACCATTTCAGTAAACTGTCTTAACCTCCAGGTCCTCAGCCCAAGTACAACTCTAGAGGCAGTGAATAGTGAGGCAGGCCCCCCACAGACCAGCTCCACTTACTGAAGCTAGCAAGCCTTCAATGCTGTTTCATGTAACACACTAAAACCAGGCATGGGTTCATCAGGTGTTAAGAGCTGATGATGAAACCGAGGTGCTCTCTGACACTCTGCAAGATACCAAACAGTTCTGAATGCCAGTGGGAGCTTGCAGTGCATGCAGTGCATGTAAACTTAGACACAACACAGGGAAGTCTAGAATACTTTTCTTTGGGGTGTGACAAGCTCAGATCAGCAATGTTAATTTGTAGCCATAGGAGCACCTGTTGGGTGGCTGCTGCAGTTGAAACAGTTTCCATCCCTTTCCTGGTGCCAGGTTCCTTTCCATGTCACCCCACACTACAACTGCACAGCATTCTGCACTCAATGTGATGACCGAACTGGAGACCAAAGCACACTGGGAAACTGACACAGCACACAGCAGAACTAACTGGTTGACAGGGAAGAGCAGCACTGGCTGCTTACCACTGTTACTAAACTCAAAAAAAACCCCAGGCTTCACAGGGTCACAGAGTCACAGCAGTACCTTAACCCTCCCTGGGCACAGTACTCCCCCAAAAGAACCCAAAGGCTTCAAGACCATCTAAATCTAGTTAAGCTGCCAAAAGCATACGAATACCTTGGAGATAGCTTACAGTTCTGAAAATTATTTTCAATTTGAAAAAGATATTATGAATACTTTGCTCACATTCATTGCCTGATCTGCCTTCTGCACAATCAGTACTGATACCACATACTTATAACGGTCAAAGTTCAGTTCCTTCACAGCCTTTAATATTTCTTCTGAGATTGAAGCACACAAGGAGGGACTTGAATCTCCATCGTATTTGGTTTCTTGAAGTTTATTCTATGAAAAACAATTTTGAAAGACCTTAGTTTCCAACCTGGTAGTCTGTTGGGGAAAAAAAAAAAAAAAAAAACCAAAAAAAACCACAACACAAAGAACAAACCGCTACAGTCATTTTCATTACATTAGAATAATTAATGAGTAGAACAGTCAATATTGATGATGCTCTCAAATGGCAAAGGTTGCACTATTTTTACTTCAAATGTTTTATCTGTTTTTTTTATCTGTTTTTTGAAAGCAACAAACACGTCCAAGCCAACCTCCATTCAACGAACGAATGCATATTCTTTTCCACCATTTGGGCTGAGTTCACTGGAAAATAGTGATACAAATACCAGTAACAAATATCCAAGATATATCTTCTAGACAGCAGAATTACAAAAGTTGGTTATGACTATTTAAGACATTGCTATTGCTAACAGCTACATATTCTCTCAGATTGTTCTCCTTCAGTTTTGCTTAATTTTTGTATGTGGCAGTCGGACTGTCAAGGGCACCAAACACATTTTACACAGATATTCATGTGATATTAGCAGTACTAATTGAAGGAATAGAATTCCAAAAATTCAAGCTCAGGATCTTTGGATGGATATTTTGCAGATTAGAAGTACTTTGAACTGTGCTATAGCTCAATTTGATTTAGAAATTGGTAAGACATTAAGAAGCTTCAGTTTGGTGACTGTGGTGAGGGCCTTCTGCTCTTTGCAAAATGGTGCACGTTCACATTACATTTGTGTGCCAAAATTCAAAGTCTGCAAAAATTTATGCATACGCTTAGTTCATGCAACTCATTCCATTCCATCAATATAATCTTTAAAAGATAAGCTACTTTTGCAATAAAATTGGGTAATTAAAAGAAATACCATACCATTAGTATCGCTTGAGTTTTGTCTCTTACTAAATAATCCCGAAATTTATTATGTGGCTCCAGTCTGTACGTATTAGCGTATGCTGCCTTTGCCCTGTTAGCTTTGAATGCCGACAGCTCAGCTTCCATTGACTCACTAACGCATTCTTCCTCCTTTGAAGCCGTACTTAGAGCTTCATAATTTGATTGTTTCCTTCTTCCTTTCATCTGTGAAAGATAATAAAAAAAGGTCTACATCACATGTCAACACTTTAGCATTTAACAGTTTCTAAATAATACTTCATGGTGAACAGTTAAGAGGAAAAAAACAATTAGTCTAGGAATATGTTACAAAAAAGAAAGGCAGAAAAAAAAATAGAAAATGGGTGTCTTCTGGCTGTTTTGACACTATTGCTTTGACTGAAAAAAGAGAACAGTTGTTAACTTCTGCTCAGTTTGAATTTATTTTCCACCAAAGTCCAAACAAAATGATTCTACAATGATTCTAAGTTTGCATTTAAACTCAGTCAACCAGACACACCACACTAGCACTTTGGATCCACTCCGTTTTCCAAGCAAAAATACACAGTTATTAACATATGCGTCCAAGACTGTTAACCACAACTTCAAGCTGTTCATTCAAACAGCCTACACACAACCCAAAATATACGTTTGGTTCATTTACTATGTAATTTTACTTGTCCTCATTCCTTGTGAAGCTACTAAACAAATTACATATGTATTAATGACTTAATTTGCTCATTAATAAAAAAAAAAAAAAAAAGGAAAGGGAAAAACATGCTTGGAAAGGGAAAAAATGGAAAAGTTGCTTTGAACCTAAAAACAGAGTGGTACTTCTTCTTATCTGCCATCAGAACTCTGAAGATCCAAGTTTTCTCCGCATCCACCTTGCATACTATCTTTCTCTTCAACATACATAACACAGTTTGGCCCTCTATGAATGCAAGCAGCGAGTCTGATGATGCACACAATAGATGTCACTTGCTGTCCTCCACAGCTGGCTTAAAACAGAACTGTAAAATGGTAGACAGAGCACATGGAACCCAAGAGATCCTAACAAATGCTAGGCAGGAGTCTTCCACATCAGCTACCTCCTAACGAACCACTTACAAGTTTTGCTGGCTTCAGTCCCTTGCTCCACCTCCTGACTACAGCTAGAACTTATGGGAGAGAGAATCACCAGTTCCTTCTCAGAAGAGCAAGAAAGCACAAAGGGGACATCACAGAATCACAGCTATAACACCACAGTGCAAGGTAACAAGAAGAACAGGAAAAAAAAAAAATCATATCCTTAGGGATAAAAGTCCAGCAAGAATTATTTGATCAGCTGCACTACTCAGAGACTCACAGATCTTTCAGGCAGTTTTAGAGTAAAGGAAACAATGCAGTTTCTTCTCTGTGAAATCACTTACATGTTAGCCCCACAAACACTGCGGACATCACCTACATCCCTCCTCTGGTTCTTTACTACTAGATAATTCTGTTAAAAACTAGTGATGTCAGCAGCCCTACTGCAACTCGGTCGCGGATGTTTGTTGATACCACACCAAAAATGCAAACTGTGAACAGCACTAACACCACACTAAAAATGCAAGGTGCAAGCAAATATTCACTTAGGCTGCGGACACACATCACCTTCTAGCTGAAGCTCAGCTCTATGAAGACTATAGCCACTTCCTGCTCATCACAGGTCTCCTAACAGAATAAAAAACACCTAACGTCTGCCAGGTGAGCTGCTCAAATGAGCATCCCAATCCATGTAGGTGGAAATGAACTTGTGAAAAAGGTCACAATCCAAACAAAAATTGCGTGCTAACATGGTTCAGAAGGAGTTACACTTTCAGGCTGTACCGTTACACATGGAAGATAATTCACGTCTATAGCACAGGTTTTAATAATGCTGTTGCTTACAAATTTAATTGTGATTATGAGCAGAAGAAGTTTTCATAATCATTTTCTCATGTGCAAGAAGCCACTTGTTAATAAGGCAACCACAAACCACAGTGATATTTCTACACAAATGGCTGATAAGTAAACCATACTGTAGTCACAATACAAATACTGTGATTCCAGGTCTTAGCACAATATTGTAATTACATTTCTGTGTAATATTTGCATCCTTCGTGAAAGAATCCCTCAAAAATTCAAGAACTGACTTTGCATTTGACTATACAAAAGCCTGTTCTCACATTACTGGCCTCTACTACATGGGCTTAACCTTGGTCATATGGATGCAAGTATGCCAAGGGAAGAAAGCTGTTACTTTTTGAGGGAAATGTTGTTAGTAAGTCTGTTTTAACAACCAACAGTTGCTTTAAAGTTAAAAAAATAATTCTTGTTTATTTCTTTAAAAGCGGACACACCTCCTAACTTAGAGGCCTTACAGCAGCACTCCAGTTCGCCATCAAAGGGAGGACCACTCTCACTTTCTCTTTACCTTCAGAAGGCTTTAAAGGACTTTGCCTCCCAACGCCCCAGGCAGCACATCAGCTGCAGTGTGGCCGCAAACATGACGTCTGACCGAGCAGAACGGGGACAAGCCATCCCAAACTGCGTGCAACCCAGACGGGGAACAGCCGTTCCGAAGCAAGCGTCCCCAGGCTCACGCTCACCTTCTGACCGCACACCAAGCCCTGCGCTCCTCCGCGCACGGTACCTAAGGAAGGTACCCCTCTGCCTAAGGACCCGAGCCCCATCCCTCGCTCCGACCCCCGTCACCCGCCGGCCTCAAGGC